GGTGGGTGGATTGGCTGCAAGGTCCTCCTCTCCCGAGGGAGGGAGGAGGGCCAGTGTGGTGTGGCAGGGCTAGGGGGCGGCAGGCCCGGGCCTGCCGGGGTCTCTACAAATTATGTCTGAAGAGAATGCAGAAGGTCCTCCTGCCCGTGTGCAAAATAGAAATTGGGGTCTGCGGGCTCAGCTCCGGCCTCCTGCTCCTCTGCAGGTGCGCTGGCATGTCCTCACGGGATGCCGGGCTCTGGGGAGACAGGGCAGGGGGCTGTGAGGGATGAGGGTGGGATAGGGTTCCCCTCTGCCACCCAACCTTACTTGACTTACCAGATCAGGAGACTGTTGGCAGTGGCGGCAGCAGCGGCCAGGGCCAGGGTCACAGGGACGCCGATTGAGAAAGGTGTCAAGGTTCCTCCGCCGCTGCCCAGCTCCCCAGGGTCACAAATCTTCGTGGTGGGTGGGGGTGCCAGTGAGCTGGTGGTGCTGGTCGTGGTCTCTGGGGAACATGGGGGTAACTCAGGGCAGGGCCAGGGCTACAGTCCAACCCAGCTCTGGGGGGTTTCATGAGGTGTATTGTTCCTGCTCCCTGTGTTAGACAGTGCTGCCTCTCCCATCAGACAGCCCCTGCTTCCTCTCTCAAACACATCCTGCCTCGCCCATCAGGCAGATCGTGCTTCCCCAAGGCTCACAGATGACCCCTCCACCCAATGGCCCCTACCAAGAATGTCCAGAGCAAGGACCAGGAACAGCATGGGCAGGACAGACAGACAGCAGTGAAGCAGCCACAGAGTGCCTGGGCTCTAAGGCTCTAAGTCCTGGGAGGAGTTGAAAGGCACAAGATAGAACCAGGCAACAGTGCAGGTCACTGAGAGAACAGGGGATGGGGGATGGGCTCACCCGGAGCCTGGGCCTCAGTGGTGAGGTGTCGTGGCTCCTCAGTCCAGGGCGTGGCATGGGCGGCCACACTCCAGTCACTCCATGTCCCAATCTCATTGTCCTTGGCCGCCACCTGGATGATGTACTCCTTCCCAGCATAGGCATCTGTGATGGTGTGCGCTGTGCCATCTGACAGCTCTACCTGCAGCCAGACCATGGGATGGGGGTAGGGGGCCCTGGGGGTTAGGAGAGTGAGGCACCCCCAGAGGAACTGAGAACACTTCTGAGCAGAGAAGAGTGAAGACCCCCCTGGAGGAAATGAGGACTTCCTTGGGAGAGAGAGGAGATATTAAGAATACTCCTCAAGGAAGGTAAAGACATGTCAGGGAGGAAACCCCGAGAGAGGGAAGACGATCCTAAAGGAGAGTAAGAAAATCTTTAAGGAGACTGGAAGCACCCCCAGGGGAACAGAAGGAGGACTTTGCTCATTGTCTCACTCTGTTGTCATCCCAGCTTCCTCACAGCCCTCAATCTGAGCCCTGATCTCAGCCCCTGCCTGGAGGTGATAAGAGTAACAGGGTAAGAATGGGGATGGTGATATGCTGCCCTCTCCCATCAGAAAGCAGCATTAAAACAAAACAAAACAAAACAAAACAAAACAAAACAAGCAGCTTAGAAGGAAGGTTATGAACACAGTCATGGAACCAGGCTTCCTGAGTCCAAGTTTTAGTTCTACTCCTTACAAGCAAGTGACCAAGTTACTTAACCTCCATATGCCTTGCTGTGCTGATCTGTAAAATGGCATTTACGATCTATCTCACAGGGGTATAATGAGGACCAAACACACTTCAATCAGCTCTGTCATCATCATGGGTTCCAGCTCAGAGCCTGGCTTCCCAGTTGCCCAGTGCATCCACTTCCTCCCATTCAGGAAGACCTCAGTATGGTCGTCACCCTGCCTGAGGTGGACTGGGGTGGGGTGGGCAGCTCCCAAGAGGCAGGACAGCAGGGCAGCTGCTCCATTTCCTCCTGGAGGCATCGCCACCCCACCCCTGCGGAGGCCAGAACTATTCTGCTGGTCTCCC